CAACGTTCTGTTCTTGAGGAATTCAAAGGCCTTCTTAGAAGAGGGTCTTAGAAGCTTCAGGGGTAGGGCCCTCAGCTCCCTTCTGAGCTTTGGCAACAGGGTCTCGAGATAGCCGCGCCTCTTTCGCTTCTTTCGGCTCTTTCGGCTCGTTCGCCTCTTTCTCCTCTCTCTCCTCTTTCGCCTTTGGCCCGGAATCGTCGCACGCCTTGCGCTGAGAGGGTCGAAAAGCAGGCCCGTGAAAACCAGGAGCCAAATAGAAACAAAAAGAGCATCATTCTGAAGTTACCTTAAAGTCGTCATTAGATCAATCAACGATAAGATTGTTCACCGTACTTATTGCCTCATATTGATCACAGCTTGACGTAGAGGTCGAGTCCATTTACTAAAAGGAGCAGACGGTTTATGCATGTCAAAAGCTCAAATACAGGTCATTGTGCAAGCCTGTGCATCCGTGAACTATCCAATGGAACAAGCGATGAAACCTCTGCATTTAGAATTACCATCTCAGACCTCTTTGACACGAAACCAACCTCTCACAAACGCTTGCAGGTCCTTCTTCGCAGCGTCTTTGTCAGCCTGCACGCACAATCTACTCCCAACCATAGCAACAACTAAATGAGAGGGTGTCAGCAACGTGGACGTTTCGTAGAGCGAGACATCCACAAAGTGGTGTGGCGAGAAATCCCAAATTGCTAGTAGGATGTTTTTTAGTGAAAGACCTTCATCATGGGGCTTGTCCACCCTCGGGCGAGCTCGCATGTTCTCTTGAATGCACCAGAAGAAGGCTCACGAAGAAGCTGTCAGGGTAAGCCCTCAGCTTCGCAAGTTCACCGCACTAATATCCGCCCTGCAAAATGGGCCATGCTTTTGGCACGGGGCCAGCGTGATCTGTGGCAGTCAACGCCAAAGTCCAAGATGCTACACAAGGGACAGTTTGTTTACACGGCGAACCCCTCTATGAGAAAGAACAACCACAGTGATTGGTTCCGGTGCTGCACTGCAATGTACGGTCCCGTACGGTACGGCGCGGTATGGTATGGTATGGCATGGTATGGTGCGGTGTGGTGTGTGCTTTGGGTGTGGGGTCGTATGGCGTGGTGTGCTGTGGCATGGTATGATATCGCGGCGCTTATTCTCATCAATACCTTTCCTTCAACCCCATCATAAGCTTCTAATAATGCACCTGTCTGGCTCTCCGTGTCCCCTATGGCATTGCATGTCACGGCATGGTGTGCCGTTCCAAAAGCGTTCTGTAACACTTTTCGTCTTGAAGACACTCAAACGAACTGACTGCCCATGGAGACTCACAGACGCGCGCCTTTGGCGCCGGCTTCGGCTTCGGCGGCTCGGCGTCCGGTGCCTGCGAGTGTGAGCTGTGAGCTGAGGGGAAGCAGGAGTCAAGAGGTCAAGGAAATGAAGCCAGTGAAACGGGTGCGTGACGGAAAAAGACATGGTGGATGAAGATCCATGTGCATGCAGTTCCCAGCACAGCGGCCCGCGCGTTGAAGAGAACGATTACCGGCAGGTTTTTGAGGAGCAAGTCGAAATGAATGTAGACATGCTACATGCTCACGCACGTGCTTGCCACACTCTCTGCCCACTTCTTCCTCAAAAAAGTGCCTATCATTATGCTTACAAAGATCTGCGCAAGCGTGCACCAAAGTCACAAGAAAGCCGGTCGCAAAACGGGATGCGCTTACACCAAGGCGGGATGTAGCAGAAAAGAATGGTGCGTCGTGCTTTGCTTCTGCTTCTGGAGCAAGCATGGCGATTCCTGCCTGAGAAGAACTACGCAAAAATGCAAGCTGGAAACTTGCTCTCAAACAAAGCGCGCGACAAGATGGTTGATATACCCTGCCAGGCAGCCTGTTTGCCTGAACATGCCAGCAATCAGGGTGCGGCGTCTGTTCCCCAGATAACTCCTCTCAAGAAAGAAGGAAACATGACTCTTGAACAAAGATATGGATGCCAAAACCAGGACTCGTTCCAAGCCAAAATGTGGCACGTCAACATCCGAAGCACAACCCTTATGCCTCAGCTTGCGCAGCTTTGGGCGCTGCCTTGGGCGCAGCTTTCGCGCCTTGTGCCTGCCAGATCGGGCGGGCGTGCGGGCCGATCTGATCTGGGGAGGATGCCCTTTGCCTATTGCCAGTGAGGCGACCAGACTCAACCACAAAATTCCGCGGCGACTGCAAAAGAAGGTCAACCGAGTTGGCATACCGCATCCGCTTTTATCCAACTGGGTCATGGCTTACCTGGGAGGCCTCTTTGATTTGACCTACCACTGAATTTGGTGGGGATGGCCACCCACTTTGGAGGTTCCCTGTGAAAAAGATCATGGCCAAGAGAAAGAGTGCTTAGACTTTTGACCGTACACAGTCCAAATCAAGTTGGTGCGCCTCCTAGTCGAATTAACATTGGCAGCTCACCCGCAGATAGCAAAACAAAACCAGAGCAGCTAGACAGCATTTCCGGCACTCTGCATATTCCCACCGAGAAGTAGCATTGGTTGTCCGTTGAATGAGAAGGAACGGTTTGACATCCTCTTTGGCCCATGCGCTTTCTAGAGGTTTGAGCCGCAGCGGGATCGTCCGCTGGTGGGGAATTGCTTTCTGGGCGATCATCCGTCGAAGATTTGAGGCTCACCTTTGCTCGATCACCCAGGGTTGAGGCCCAGCTAGGGCGAAACTACATCTAACAGGCAGAAAAGAAGCTCGGACAGCAGCGAATTCGCCGATCCACCGCAAAATGGGTGTGGGTCAAAATTAAACCACCAGGGGACCATGAAATTTTGGTCCATGTTGCCACTTACCAGGGCAAGCCATTTTGGGGTTACCCTATTGTTGACGCACAGCCAACTCGGGGGATTTGGATCCTACGGCGGGCCTGTGACACCGCGATCTTCGGCGCCTGGCCGGGCCCGAAGATCCTGAGGTCGATTGTCGGTCGAATGTGGCCATGGGTCAAAACCCAAATCGGTTACCCCCCAGTGAACGGGACCCAATCCATGGGTGGTGAGTTCACCTACCCCAAAATGGTACCATTGGTTTTGACCCACAGCCATGTTTTTGTTCGCCGGAAATCCTGATGAAACCCTTGGGATGAACCACCTGAGGGCCAGGGGAAACCCAGTAAGCGGCAAATGGCCCAAGCACCAGGGAAAATAAGCGGCTTCTGAAGAGATCCTTCTAACGTGATGCTTGAAGGGGAATGAGAACCCTGCAACCCCTCCAACAGAAGGGCCCCAGGGGATAAAACACCAAGTGGAGTGCGATTATTTCTTTTGTGGGGTGGAGGGGTGGGGGGGAGGGGTGGGGGGGAGGGGTGGGGGGGAGGGGTGGGGGGGAGCGGTGGGGGGTCGGTTTTGGAAGGTCAAAGGATGCCTCATGTTGCCTCATGTTTGAGTCATACTCCAAACCCGGTTTTCTAAAAGTATTCCTCGATCATCTACCCTTGGCTCATTTCAGCTCTTGCTTCCTGGGCTCGTCCCTCGAAGATCTGCACGGCCTCCCTGGATGTGCCGGAAAGGCGTGTGCAACTGACAGGACGTGTAGGTGCGCTACTTGGAAGGTTTCAAATGGCCCAAATGGTCCAAGCAAAATGTTGTGGGAACTCCCAACGAACCTGGAATCATCCTCGAGCTTCTGGACCTTCTTCCCGCAACTCCGGGCAAGTCGCACTTCCCCGGTCGGAAACCAGAGAAACCCCAAAGCAAGAAACCTTTCATCCCCAAAGTTCGGTCGTTTTTCCGCTCAGTCCCCAAACTGGATCCATGAGGCCGGTCGCCACATGTGTGTTTCCGGGAACATACCGGGTTTCCCTTACCCAGCCACCTCCACCCATCCCATCCCAACCGACGAATCCGCAGATACGGAACTCACCCAAGCGGCGTGGGCAGGCCGGTGGGCTGCGGCCAGTCCATGGCCATGACTCTTCGCAGGCAACTGACTTGACCTGTTCTCAGGTGAGTCACTCCCTTGAAAATCCGGAGAGCTCCATGCGCAACTCTTTGGTTTAAAGAAAAATCTCGCTGGCCTTGTTCTACTTGGAATGCGCTGCTTTTGCCGGCGTCATACGAAAAAAAGACCCTCCTGCAGCGTATATCTGCACCATGTCTTCTTAAGCACATTGCTATCTATGTCTGTGCAGGAGAAAGAGCCGACAAATGCAGAGCCCATCCACCTGGACACACCGGACACGACCATGAAGTTGGCTTCCCTGTGGATGTGCTGCTCACTTGACCCCAAAGGCGGAGGTTGTTTTGAACCTCCGGAAAAGATGGCTGACGCAAATCCACCAACAGCAAGTGGGATTAGACCACCTGCAGGTGTAACAGCTACCGCAGACCCCCTGTATGTTGCAAGTAAACGAAGCGTCTAAAGCCTGGCTGAGGATTTGCTTCGCCTGCATATCCCCAAGGCTGCAAGCCGTCCCAAGACTAAAGCGCTGCGAATCTGCAAGCGCTGCCCACATCTCAACAGGTGGCAGGAAACCTCCAAGCAAAGAAAGACATCTTGCGGACTGCAGGTGGCGCTGCCAAGCTGGCAAGTCAATGACGTGTCGAATCCCCATGAAGAAGCAAATCACGGCCTCGACACCCTGCAAGTGCCCATGTGCTGCCTGATTGATTTGCCTCCATCAGAAAGGCTCAATTCTTGCTCTCGTTTCAGAGAAAGTCTTTGGCTCCGTAATTTGTGGAGGAAAACCAAAAAAATGTCAGGGACCTCTGCAAGAACTCAATTGCCCCGGTTCCAAGCGAGTCGCCGAAAAAAGGCCATCCAGATGTCGAAAAGATCGGCCTTTTCGTGAATCCTCCTTCCTTTTTCCTCTTTCAATCGGCTCCGAGTCACTCAGACACGCCACCAACTCTACACAACTCTGATGTCAAAATAATTTTTCGGGAATCCACAAAGGGAAAAAAGTGCCACAAGACCTTCAAGCACCTCCGGCATCCCCTTCGCCCGCCCGCGAAGAAGGCGGGGGGGATGCGGGGGGCGCACCGCGCCCGGCGGCACCTTCTTGAAGTCGAAGCAGAACTTGCCCACCTTGACCCACGGGAACGCTTGATCCACATGTCACATAAAATAGGCCCAAAACACAAGGGGTCCACACACACACACACACATGGTTCCCTTGAAAATCTTAACCCCCCCCCCTCCGCGATCGGAGTTTGTTGTCGGCTTCCCTTTTCCAACACACCGGACATCGGACAAGTTGAAGACACACTGGTTCTGGTTGTTGGCACCATTATTTGATCATGATCAAAGGATCCCCAAAAACAGCCCCATGTTCTGACTTGACAAACCCCTAGACATGATCAAAATAATGCTCCCGAAGCTGCTTCATAGATTGAGCAGATTGACCTCATACAATTCGGGAGTTGACCTTCAAGGTAGTTCAGCATATCACTTTGCTCGGCTCACTTTCTAATGTCTGACGGAAGATATCTTCGTAGCAAGCTACTTTCACTAAAGAGTGAAAGGGGCCAAATAGAATGCGTTCTCAGAAACATCAGATCACAAGAATGGTTGTGGACCAGAAACGTGTAGCTGAACGTGCGGCGAGGGTTGTCAACATCACCCTCGGTGGGATTCTATCATTGTGTGCCACCTTTCAAAGAGCTTCTCACTGGAGGCCAACCCGTTGTCAACCCCAAGCCGACTGCGCAGCTTGAAAGCCAGCAGAAGCTTTTCTCCCGAGCGATTGCATGCGCTGCTATCCTTACATCGGGGTTCAACTGTGTGTGATCCCTGCAAGGCAAGCGGCACCCATCCACTGTGCCCTTTTCTGATTCTGGTTTCAAGAACACAAAGCCTCCCGGCTTCTGCCACTCTCAGAAGACAGAATCTAACAGTGATAGCATCAACGAGCGGCAGTGGATTACATTGTGCCACATCAGGGCTCCTGGCATTTTCCACCTGAACATTGCCTTGTCAATGGTGGTTTCCCTGTATTTTGTTTTGAAAAAGCAACATGTTTCAAACGGTTGCAGAATGTATCTGAGGAGCCCTGCATATCTCGTCCTGTTACGGGCAAGCGCGGCACGACCGACATGGTACCATGGGCTCCTCTGGCTTAGAACTCATCGCCGTAGCCTGTCATGGGCTGGATGAAGCAATGTGCACAAGGCCAAGGTGGGTTTGAAGTCGTCTTGTTCAGGGCTTCACTTCAACTGAAATGAGCATCTCCGTCGCTTCTGACACAATCAACATACGCACACAAACCTTTCCAACACACATTGGACATAGCCATGGGGGAGTCAACAAACAATGGATTACACTGACGGTGTGACACAAACACTCACGCGATAACTGACCACGCGCTGGCACCACCAGCTCCCAGTCCGTGCTGCCCAGGGCCCGGCCAATCCCGCGCAGGGCCAAACCCCGACCGCGACCGCGCCTTCCTCCTCGCCCTCACCTTCCGCGGTCTCGATGCCAACCTCCTCGTAGTCTTTCTCCAACGCCGCCAAATCCTCCCGTGCTTCGGAGAACTCGCCCTCCTCCATGCCCTCACCCACGTAGTGGTGGACAAAGGCGCGCCTTTGATTCAAAGCAGCGAAGGTTAAAAATTCAAAGAGCATGCCCTGATGCTTTCCCAAGGCACGGGATGTGCGAAGCACTGGCCAAGGCATTCACCCTTTCCAGTCCGCGCAAAATAAGGGCGTTGAGACGTGTAGGCGAACCAGGCCACAAAGCACATTGCCATAGGGCACACGTGCTCACGCACGCACATACACACACACACACACTTAGACTCTCGAGAGAGAGTAGGCCAGTCAAGATCGACTGCAAGCGAGTCAAGTGCCACAAAGCAAAGTTCATTTCAAGTGTGCTCAGGTGATGTCAGCAGGGTAGACAGCCCTAAGATTGAACAGGGGTGAAGCACACACAGCCTTACCGGAAACCAAGCACTGTGGTATCATCAGCAGGTACGTAGCTTGAGCGTCCTCAAACCATATCACTCTGTAACAGATGTGTCTTCGTTTGCTGGATACATCTGAAGCGACGTGCAGCCAGGCACGCACCCTCGCTCCGGGCGCATGCACACACCTATACGATGAAGCAAGAGGAACGTAATATGGGGCAAAGTTCAACAGTATAAAATTCACAGGTTGTAGACAACTTGAGACATGAAATTCTCTTTTAGGAGAACAAATTTATAATTATTCAAGCAAATAATTCGGTATAATGTTGAGACGCATATGAAAAGAAACAAACATATTGACAAAGAAACAGTATTAGGTTGGTCAAGAAAAATACAAGTCATTAAAATTGGCAAAAACGGTGGTATTGTGCTGTTTTTAGTAAATGGAAACCATGAACAGTATTTTGGGTTTATTCATATTATTCACTTTTAGCCCGAAACAGAGACAATCAACATGACAAAGTCTTTAGCTCCTTCAAACAAAAAAAACTGTTCACAAACTGAAGCTTGAACCCCAGAAAATTCCTCAAAACCCCCTTGGTGAAATGAACAAAATAATTTGCTTTTTGAAAATGAACACTGCAAATTTTAACCCCAAATAAAACTCCCCTACCCTGTAATCCCCCTATTAACTTTTTTTAGAGGGCACACACACAAGAGACACACAACAAAAAAATAGCAGCGAGGATCTTGCTGTACATCAGATCGAACTTGTGGTCAATGCGTGAGAAGACTTCGGCGATGGCCGTGCTGTTGGAAATCATGCAGCACGCACGCATGACCTTGGCCAAATCACCACCCGGCACCACCGTAGGAGGTTGGTAGTTGATGCCGCACTTGAAGCCAGTGGGGCACCAGTCCACAAACTGGATGGTGCGCTTGGTCTTGATGGTGGCGACAGCTGCATTCACGTCCTTTGGTACAACATCCCCGCGGTACCTAATGGTGGTCGTCAAAAACCTACTGCGAGCAAAGAATGATCAAGTGAACAACTTCCACCAACAAGCCATGTAGAACTGTGAACATGCACGCCATGTGACCACTGCATACAGCTTCCAATGTTCAAACATGCAATACAATCCGAAACGCAACGAAACACATCGCATGACACCATACCAAAACCCATTGGCTTGAATGGCCGAGACACATCATGCAGCAAGCCATGTATTTGCCATGGCGAGGATCGCACTTCACCTGCGGCAAGCTTCGACCCTTTCGGATCCAAAGGCGCAAAGGGCACAAGAGCTGACCTGCAAGGCACTGCAAGGCTTAGCATTCAAAATCGGCCAAAGAAACAAAACGCGCAAGGTCCAAGGCGGGTTTGGACAACTTTGGACCGAGTCGCCATCATCGAGGCAGGCTCAAACACGGACATGGTGATCTCTGCCACAGAGAGCTGCTCATGGTATGCCTTCTCTGCGGAGATGACGGGTGCAAAGGAGGTGAGCATGAAGTGGATGCGCGGGTAAGGCACAAGATTTGTCTGGAATTCGGTGATGTCCACATTCAAAGCCCCATCAAACCTCAGGCTTGCCGTCAATGAGCTGATGATCTGAGCGATCAGCCTGTTGAGATTCGTGTAGGTCGGGCGCTCAATGTCCAAGTTCCTGCGACAAATGTCGTACAACGCCTCGTTGTCCTGGCTTCTCCAAACGGCTCCAAACACACCCACATTCAACCCCAACACGCTCAATCGCAGGAATGAAAATTCCTGGCAAAACACAAACGGGTGAGTTCATTGCATCGTGGGCAACGTTTGGGCCATGTTCCGAATCAATCAAACTTAACACACAGATCAGCTCCAAAATTGCTAGAGGAGCCTATCGCAAGACCGCTTCCAAGCAAGAAAACGGGATGGCAATTTGATCGTAAATGCATCGCGCCCAGGCTGTGATTGCTGCCCAGGCACGTACATGATTGTCACATCCGTGTGCTCGAGCAGAGAATGCACGCAAAGCACGGTGTTGTAGGGTTCCACCACAGCAGTCGCCACTTGCGGACACGACCAAACTGTGAAGGAAATCTTGCTCTTCTTACCATAGTCCACGGACAAGCGTTCCAACATCAGGCATCCCAGGCCAGATCCTGTGCCACCACCGACAGCGTTGTACACACAGAAGCCCTGCAAGCCGGTGCAATTATCGGCCAATTTGCGGATTCCTGAGTTGTGCAAGTGATGCACACTGGCAAGTTTTGCAGACTTCCAAGCACAGACCAAGATCCGCAGCTCACTCTGCCAAGCATCGATCAAGGACCAGGTCGACGATCTCCTTGCCAATGGTGTAGTGGCCCCGTGCCTCAGTGGAAGTAACTTTTTTGCTGGGCGTGCCAAAGATACACAAAAGAAAAAGAAGAACAACAACAACCTCCACCCTGCTAACAACGGCAGCAGCAGCCGCAACGACGACGACGACGACGACGACCACCACCACCACCACAACAACAACAACGACAACAACAACATGCTTCTGCTACCAGTACTACTACTACTGCTACTACTACTACTACTACTACTACGACTACTACTACTACTACTCCTACTACTACTACTACTACTACTACTACTACTACTACTACTACTACTTCTATACTACTACTACTACTACTACTACTACTACTACTACTACTACTACTACTACTACTACTACTACTACTACTACTACTACTACTGCTACTATTATTACTACTTTATTTATAGTACTACTTCTTCTACTTCTACTGCTGCTACTACTACTACTGCTACTGCTACTGCTACTGCTACTGCTACCGCTACTGCTAGTGCTAGTGCTACTACTTCTTCTAGTACTACTACTACTACTACTACTACTACTACTACTGCTACTACTACTACTACTACTACTACCACTACTACTCTTGCGATCTGCAACTTGAAATGAAAACTCATCGCTAAATTAGACATTGTTGCGAAATTGTTCGCCGCATCTTCCTTGCCAGAAATGAGCTGCTCTGGGTGGAAGAGCTGCCGGTAGGTGCCCGTGCGCACTTCGTCCACAACGGTCGGCTCCAAATCAACCATCACACAACGAGGCACATGCTTCCCTGCTCCAGTCTCGCTGAAGAAAGTGTTGAATGCCTCAGAGGCATTCCGCGCGACAGAGGTTCACAAGCCACAGCTTCCACAGAAGACTCGGCAGCTCTCTCCAGACTATGCCCCCATATGTTCTACCTTCATAACCAACATAACTTGTTTGTTGAAGGCGATGAAGTTACAGCCCCCAGCTCCTTGCTATGTTGTCTACATACAAAACCTTCAGGCCAACAAATTGCAAACTATGCAACAACTTGATGCCAAAGGGTGACGCCTGGCCCATGCATGGTGAACATGTGTCAGCGAAAAAGTCATCATTGCCAATATTGGGCTAGATGCGTCATCGCCTCCGCCAATAGTCTTGTCGGACGGCATCTGACCATCAGGCTGGATTCCATGTTCCAAGCAGAACAGCTCCCAGCAGGCGTTGCCAATTTGCACGCCACCCTGGGCATGAGACGATGCCACGGATGCTCGGGGCGTTTCCAGATAGCTCAACTCAAACGCATTTGCACGGGCCGCTGTCAACCATCACACTCACGCAATCTGGGAAAGTCCAATTTCCCCAACAGCGGAGACGCTATGGGGTGTAAAATCTCACTACAGGTTCAGTTGCAGTTTACTCTGCGCCGGTTGCTCAACGCATATCTGCACAAGTTGCTGGAAAGTCAGTCTGCGAGCGTCACTGCACTGAAGTCGCTGTGCGCCATTCAGTTAATCGGCGCGAGACGCTCTGCACAAATCACTCCGCGCGAGATACTCTGCGGAAGTTACTCTGAGCAAAACTCCGCGCGAGAAACTCTACGCAAGTTGCTACGCGCTTAAGTCACTCTACTAGCATGTCAGTTTGACCAAGTTCCTTTGAGCAAGTCACTTCATGCAAGTTGTTCTGCGCAAGTCGCCCTTGGGTCTTCGCAAGTCCCTCTACACACGCCACTTTACGCAAGCCACGTCCCGCAAGTTTCTCTGAGCAAGTCGCTTTGTGCGAGTCATTTTGCGCTAGGCCGCCAGGCCCTCTAAGCACGTAAGTCTTGCGCACGTCGCAAAATCCTCCGTCCAAGTCACTCCACTCAAATCACTCTGCACAAGTAACCTTGCAGAGCTTTCTCTACAAAGGTCACTTTTCGATCCACGCAAGGCGCTCCACAAGAGTCACTCTACGCAAGGCACTCCGTGAAAGCGACCCTTGGGCAAGTCACTCTGCGCAAACCACTCTACGCGAGTCATTGCGCGCGAATTGCTATGAGCAAGTCGCCCACCGCACGTCAATTATCTCCTCACCGCACACGTACGTCACAATTCGCAAGCCACTCTGCAGAAGTACCTTTACGCAAGATGCACGGCGAAAGTCGTTCTGCGCAAGTCGGGTTGAGCAAGCCACCTCGCGTGCGTCACCCTGTATGCTGCGCAAGGGTACTTTGCATGAGTTGCTTTGCGCAAGTCGCTCTGCATGAGTCGCTTTGCAAGTCACTCTTTTTGTAAGAGAAGGGTGACAGGGAGAATCCGACCAAACCAAGAATCCAACACCCAGATGAAAACGCACAAGCAAAGCGCGGGACAAAAACATGTCAACACTGCCAAACAGTGTCTGCTCCCATAAACATGTTTTTGTTTTAAGAAACGTGTGCCATCCAGCTTTGCTTAAGCACACCTGGTCACGGGAGCGAAGTATACTCAACGCTGCAATAGGATCAACTCAAAAGGTGGTCTGCGGAAAGAACCGAATCAAGGTACCAAATGGGCGCTCACTTTTCTGCCAAAGATCCTGGCCAATGTGGATGCAGATAGCCTCACGCATGGCGCTAGAAGATGTTTGAAGACAAACAGAAAGTGCCAGAAGCACACCGTGTGATGTGGCCGCCTCGAGCACGAATCCTGGAGCCAAAAAGCCACGGAAACCAGCAAGGTTGACGGGAAACAACACGGCCAGCCAGTCATGCGCAAGCAGGATGTGTCTTTGGCAGAAGCCACAGGGTTGAAGCAGCAGGAGGACTCTTTTTCCAAATGGCTTCTGGCTGAAACTCACTGGGAAACCACCTTATCAAACCAGCCACAAGGGGTGCAGAAGGACAAAAATTAAAGCCTCATTGCAACAACAAGAGAAGACACCGAGCCGAACACGGCGTGACACCAAAGGAGATGAAGCCAGTCGCAAGATAGCCGCCATGCGTGACGACCCTTTCGTGTGTGTGGTGAAACGTCCCACGGGACTCCAACCATCGGGGCAAGCCATGGTCGAAAGCCCAAGGAAAAGCCACGGAGTTCGATCAGAAAACGTTTGACACCCTGAACGAGGCCTTTGCTAATAGAATCCATCAGTCCCTTGGACAACTCTCTACTTGCCACTCTCTTTGCCAAGGTCCGCGCGTACTCTGTGAAGCTTCCCAAGTTGGGCAAGACCCCAAACCTCAGGTCGAAAGAGAATTTGATACCCTCATTCAATTCATATACAAGACGGCCCCTTTCTGTGTGGATTCCCTCGAAGTTCTCATGCGGGTATTCTGGAAACTCCAAACGACGGACACGTTCCGAGGACCAGCTCCCGGGAATGAACCAGGAAGCTACAGGCGGTAGGTTCTGTGTGAGGTTCTCCTCACTTGCTGGTGCGATAGGTAGGGAATGACCCAGGGTGGGAATGAACCCAAGGATTCCCTTGAAGGAAATCACAATTGGTTCCGCGGGGTCATTGCCTCATTCCCTGAGAACCGGCAAGGTCAACGTCTTCGGATGCTTCCCGCTTCAACATGGCCAGGCATTCTGGCAGGAGCACAAGACCTTCATCGGACTATTTTTGTGTGGTGTGTCTCACGCTTCTCTGTGTATCCGTTGCGCGCGTCTTCCCGGAACTAACAATACGGCCCATACGGCTAACAAAAGTCTACAAATAATTTGGTCAGTTGCTCACATGCTGCCATATGCTTCCATCCATTGGCCTTGCACTATTCAAAAACTGAAATGCCTGGGCCGGAAACAAACAGCTTCAAGGCAGGACCCAAAGCCTGCGACAGTCATGGCAACGCCAGGATCGGGACATTCATGTATCCATGCGCAATGCCAAAAGAAAACAAGAAAGCTAATACGTGGCTTTGAAGCTTCAACACAGGCAAGCCCCCAAAACCATCAATTGCCCGTTGCTTTGATTTAAAAGAAGTAAGAAGTGCGGCGTCACATTTTGGGGCAGACCCCAACCACTCCCAAATGGATATGGCCCTCGCAAAATCCATGTTCCTTCAGGAATCAGGAATCTCCTTTTGGGAGGCCTCGTGGGGTCCGCATTATGGCTACGTCTGTTTCTGGAGGGTACCCCAGAATGGGCTTGGGAAGCCACTTACTTTTGGGGTCCCGAGAAAAGACACGCCCTTCCGCGGAGCATCCCAAAAACCACGCGATCCAAGGCCAAAACCCCCCGAGGCGCACGCCGGCTGAGCTGAGCCCGGCGCGTGCGCCAGCCTGCGGCGTGCCGCAGGAGCCACCTCAGGGTATCGCTGGTGTTGGATTAGATAATTCCACTGTGGACGAAATCCAATTCGCACCACCTAAGAGACTCTGGAAATGTCGATTCCCTGAAAATACCAACAAACAATGGTTTCAAGCATGGTTTCCATGTGGTGCAGGATTTAGTCCATCCATAGTATGGTACATTCTGGGAGGAGTTTGCACATTCATTCTGAATAATGTGAAAGGCTAAAATTCGCCTCGGCCCCAAAGGGGCCAAGGGCGCTCAGATCTCTTCTCCAAAGAGAATCTTCGCTTTTCCCCCCAACCCCTCCCTGCCGGGCCGCCCCCCCCCCCACCCCCCCCCACCCATGTCGGCTGGCCCAAAATCCTGTCCGGCGGGCCTTGAAATTTTCGGGGTTCGTCGGCGTCCAGCTCCATGGGTCCATTTTTGTCGAAAATGTGCTGACAATTGCAGGCCCAAGTGTGTATGAAACAGGCCTTGCCCCTCCAGCAACCCGCCCAAGCACAGCTCAGCCCAGCCCGCCCAGCCCAAGTTCCAGGCGCAACCAGCAGCGTAGTCCGGCTGCCCGGCAGCCAGCAACCCACCCATGGCTTCGCAGCCTCCTGGCTGAGACTAGCTTCAGGCCCAGCCCAACCAGCAACCCACCTCAGCCCAGCCTGCGCAGCCGGCATCTGAGAGCATGAGCAGGCTCAGCCCAGCGTGCCAAGGTCAGGTTTGTCTGACGTGCCTGAGACTGGCCTCAGGCCAACGACCAGTCTCACGTGTCTGAGACTGGTCTCAAGCTACGCCAGCTACCAAGCCTGTCTGACGTGCCCCAGCCCCCCGGCCCCAAGTCATCCAGCAGGCCCAGCCCCTTCGGCGTCTCAAGGTATGCCACTAGCCTCAGGCCCAGTCCCTCAGCCCGCCTGCTGGCGTGTCTATTGGGGATATTTTTCCGGGGTACTTAAGCAAATGGAGGTTTGTATTCCCACTATGTACCTGTCTTGGGCAGCAACCGAGCAAGAAATGTATGTCATGGCAAGCCGCCAGCCACGTGAAATGGAGGTGCCCAAACACCCAAAGTTGGTCTTGGTTGTTCAGTGACACCAATTATTGTTCCCCTTTTTATGGAGGCCAAGCCCCACTAAAAATGCTCATCCCCAGAAAGAGGTCCTTTTTTTTCCAAGGGCACTGAGCAGCTGAGATAGTCTTGGCTTTGGATTTCAAACCTTCCGAGCAGGACGGCTTCCGAACATCGAACTAGCAGGTGCGGTCACAAGCTTTCAGTAGGATTCGGACCTTCCCAACACTGGATTTCGGTGTTCCTGACCCTTCCCTCAAACTAGGCTGGGCCGAGGCGGGCAACGCGAAGCGTTTACAATTACAGTCGTGCGCGACTCCACTAACTTTGGCATTGATTGTGTAAGCAAATGTAGTAGGGAATGTGGAACCTCTTCCAACGGATGGATCCTGGTACTGGGTGGCAATATTCCCATATTCCTGGGAAGAAATGCACGCAAATGAGTAATCAAAACCTGGTAAAGGCGTCTATCCAAACGTAAAGAATCAAAAGGCGGAAGGACAAATGGCTGTTTTGTCGCCTACCTTTTTTGGGGCTGGGGAAGGCAAGGGAAAACCACCTATTTGGGTTGGAGACAAACCATGGAGCATTCTGCACAATCCGAAGGTTTAAACAACAAGCACCGCTTGTGGATCGCTTGCGTGCCGAGGCCCGGGCAAAAAGATCACACATCGCATTGGGCGGATGTCAATGAGAAAACGCAGTTGGCTGAACACGCATGGGAAAACGCGCGCGTTTGGCATTTTGACATGCGGCTCTGGTCTAAAGCTCTGTGTTTGGTTGCAAGTGTGCGCCCCAAACATGTCGCAACGTTTCGCAGGCAGTTCATTGAGCCTAAGCTGCCAGCATGATGCATCAGCCTGCGGAGCCGAGAGAGCGATCGCATCATGGCCTTTTCGACAAGCGTGCAGGGCTACCATCAACAAAAAACCGTATTGTGCAGTTGCAAGCGTCGCACGTTCAAAATCCCTGTCTTGGCAGAAAGACAGCAAACCAGCAAAAAACACGCGGAGCAATAGCTGCCCATGCGAGGAAAACATTACAAAACGTCATGCAGAATGCATGCACGGGTCTCAAATTACGAACAGGTCTTGACCGGTTTTCAGGGAAACCAAAAGAAAACAACCACCTAGAAGCGGACCCAAATTTTGAGACGTTCCCACATACGCATGGTCTGCTGATACGAGAAAAATTGACCTGCGCGCTTCGAGCAATTTTGATTCCCCAAGTGACACTCTGTCCAGCTCCCTTGCCGAAATCAAAGCATCAAACCCCTGGCTGCCACCATTTCCTGACGAAACTTGGACATGATAGGCACACCTCATGGGCCCCCAAGACAGCAACAAAAAAAGCACGAAAACTAGTCCAACCGTTGGACGGTGACAAAAGGAAGCCGTAGCAAGAGACTGATGAGCAGACACACCCTACCTTACCCTCAAACCAGGTCGCAAAAACGGTCTCCTTGACCTTTGTGAGACAGAAAAACCGAGGCCATCCCTCGCGCGCGAATCCGCATCCGCAAGGCCGAGCGACAAAACTGCGTTCACGTCTTCGGCTTCTTGGGCTTGGCAGGGCCGGCGCCAGGCCTAACGAAGGGGTGACTATGAGTGTCAAAGCCTGAAGGTAGGTCCACATAGGAACCCATCTTGGACCCTTGCGGGGCCTGATTTCGCATAAAGCCAAAACTGACGGATAATTCACACCCAACTAGGAGGTTCATACCAGGTGCTCGTGGACGATTTCATTTAGCCTTTCAGAGTGTCTCAACAGGGCTCCCTGTAAACCAGCGGGCCCTGTTTAAGGAAATACCTGCTAAATGTTAAAGAGCAGTCGGCAATGGCAATCGTATCACGGAGGGTCTTCCCCTGGTGGGGCCATCCCTTCTTTGATGGCCATGGCTGAAGCCGCATCAATTCCGGCGGCGGCCCTTGGAACCTGTCAATCCTGGGTTCCAAGCTTGGCAGGGCCAGCCGGGCCCGCCTGGCGCGGAGTCGAGCCGCCAACGTTGCATCGGGTCGCACGTCCACGCGACAACTTGGAGAACAAATACACTTGCTTCAGCTTCGGCTTGGGATCTTTGGCCGCCATCCCCAGCCGTTTGGTGGGGCAATCACTTGTTTGGCAAAGTCTGTGTCCTTTGTGGCAGGCGGGCATCACAAGCACTGAATGAGCTTGCCCAGCTGTTATTGAAAAGCGAGCAGGGAATGAATGACTTCTCTTTTGCAACAAGATTGCACTTATGCCCGCAGCAATCGCTTGGCGTCCCGCGCCTTGCGCTTTTCGGCGCTGGGGCCCACTGCAGGACCCGCAGGCCCCACTGGTGGACCCGCCGGGCCCACGGACGGACCCGCAGGGCCCACCGGGCCTGACGGACTGGCACACGACCCATCGCGCACGACCCAATGGGAAACTGTAAAGTCGAGAACCCACAAGCGCAAAACTGGCTGAATATTCCAAACCGGTCGGCTGATCCGACCCTTGCCCAACATCAAGGCTTGAGTGCCGGCCAACGAAAGCACGCCCAGCCCCAGGTGTCCAGGTGGGGATTTATGTGGGGGGTTGATCAGAAGGTCCTTTTACATAAGATGGGGGGGAAACCCACAAAACCGGGGGAAAACCACAAAGATCATACTTCTGACACGGGAAAAGTTGTTCACTTGGTCAAAACTGGGGCGCCGAAAGGAACGACGGGTCAACCCCCATGTGTGACAGGGATTCGCTCGGATGCCTCTCGGAGGCCCTGCAGGACCCACTGGCCCTCGAGCCGGACCCACCTCAGCTCTTTGGATCCCATGGCCCCGTTTGGGGTGTCAAAGAGGCTGCTCGTCCGGTTGGAGAAATCCCGTCGCGGTAGAAATGAAAAAACTGAAGAAAAATAAGAAGAAAGAACGCGGCGACTGAACCCATGTGGGCCCGGAAGTCCTTTTCGCGCATGTGCCAACTTGAAGAACCGGTCTGAGCCTGGGACGCCGGGGCCAGCGGGGCCTGCAAGACATAACCAAAACCTGCTGGATTCCAATCAGAACCACCTCCAATCGCAACTTACTGTAATTCGTTGGAAACAAGGCAGCCCAATGACATGCCTTCAGCGATGAGGTTGTTCTGTTTCAAGTGAGTCACAATCAAAACCTGGTATTAAAATTGTCGATCCCCAGAACTATGTGAAGAAGACTGACAAGTCGGATATCCGCGCCGACTTATGGCTGGGATTGTCCCTTACTACCCTCCAATCACCCGGGTTTTGGTTGCGAGTCAGGTGATTCTCGAACTCCAGATGGGTTTGTCTCTTTGGGAGTTGGTAGCCTTGTTTTTGTGGTTGTGTGAAGAAACAAAAGGAAAACCACCATTTCTTAGTAGTCGAGGGCCTTGCCCAGCAATAAATTGCTTTCATACATACCCCCCACCCTACATTTTTTTTCATCTTCCATCTTCTACCCTTATTTGTTTTCATCATTTTTCTACATTCCTTTCTGTCCATCTCATCCGTTTTTTTATCATCATTTTTCCAAAATTTTCGCCATCCTTTTCTCCTTCCTCCTCGCCTCATTCATTTCACCAACTACCCTCCAAAATGTCATTTCCTCAATCTCCTCGCCTCATCCATTTCAAAAAAATAAATTTTGCAAAATATATTGCAAAAAATATTTGTCATCAAAAAAAAAATCGAACTGTCTAAAAACGATTTGTCCATTTCCCGGACAAAAAATAGAACAGCAACAACATCACTCCCTCCTTCGTTTCATCAGTTTCATCATATATTTTTTTGGGGCGTGGTGTCCCTTGTAGGATTTTATCTTCAATATATAAAACGCTATACTTACATCATAATTATAACATATAAGGGTATAAATGTTATTATTATAGTATGGTTTTAATCTATCTTATATTCAAGTAATAATATTTATCAAGCTCATGTTCGTAAAATAATTGCACAGCATTAATATTTATGTAATATCGATTCCTGATTTTTTGGTATTTAAATATATGATTCAATAACTGATAGTTGAATACTGAGAATGTTGAACGCTTAAACCGAAAACGATAGGTAGACATAATTGGATATACTTCTTTTCGCGGAACTAATTTAGTTTCTATATTATTTATTGCCTGAATAAACTTATTGTATATTTGGGCTTCTTCTTCTGCCCTTCTTTTCTCTTCTTCTACTTGTTTAGTTTTACATTCCTTGCATAATATTAAACTTGTATCACTTGTCGGAAAATCATCATGAACGTGTGTTTCTTCCACGCATCCACAATTCTTAGTTTCTCTTGATGTTAAAGTCCATCCCATATTTACTATAATATATATAGCTGTTATTTCTTTAAATACTTTTTACAAGAAATAAAATTAAATATTGAAATATAACTATAACATATAAGGGTATAAATGTTATTATTATAGTATGGTTTATGGACTAATCAAAAAAAAAACAGATATCTTAAGAATGTGAGCCCACTGTAAATCCAAAAAACAAGCTATGTTAATCCAAAAATCAAGCTATGTTAATCCAAAAATCAAGCTATGTTAATCCAAAAATCAAGCTATGTTAATCCAAAAATCAAGCTATGTTAATCCAAAAATCAAGCTATGTTAATCCAAAAACAAGCTATGTTAATCCCTAATCCACCAAACTCACTAAGATTTCACAAATTAATTCGCTAGGTATTTTATATAAATCTTCCTGTTTATGTATTGTTGGATTGTCTCCCCAATTTTCCTTGGTGCCCGATGGTAGCCGTTGTGCTGTTTCAATATGTTTATTATTCCTGATGTTGCCACAATCCTTTTTACATAATTCTCTAGGTTTCCAAGTTGTAATGTTATTCCAGAGCCTAGTGCGTTTTCTGTAAATCATTCCATATTTACAGTAATCTACATCTTTAAAATCAAACTCATCCATAAACTCCTGATGTTTCAATAATCCAGTTTGTGGATTTTCGATTACAAAATATTTAGGATTAAAATATTTGATAATCTCAATAGTTTTTAAGACAATACTATTTGCATATTCGATATTCCTAATTCCCCTAGTTTTTGCTACGCTGTATTCAGTGCATGGGGGACTACTCCAAATAAAATCAAAATGGTTTCTGTCAAACTGTTTGTAATCCCACTCCAAAATATCAGTGTTGATATCAGCATTTTTCAAGTCTAATGATATTACATTAAATCCAAGCGACTTTGCTATGGTTCCGACGCTTTTTGTTCCGCTAAATAATTCTAATAAATTCATATTATTAGAATTACTTAGATATTAATTATTCAAATAATACATATACTTCATCATCATTTTTTGTAATTTTATAAAACTCTAATGTTTGTTGCTTTGGTTGTTTGATTTTTCCTGTATTCAACATATCACAGTATTTCTTTTGCTTTGTAGGGTAGTCGCCCGATGGTCTTCCTATAGATTTTGCTTGAAATATCTTTTCGATTTTCTCCTTCTCTTCGTTGCTTTGTTGTTCGCGTTCAACTGGTTTCATTTTGTAATCAATGGATTTAATCATATCATTTAAGTTTTTGATATTTTTACCAATTAATGTTATCTTCTTCATTAAATCATTAATAGTGTAATTTTCATTTTCAGACATTACTATATATTTATTTAGATATTTATTTATTTAATTATATATTTTTCATCATTTGTTTAACAGTTTCTTGTGTTTCGTTTTCATTATTATCCGCGAGTGATGCATCCTTACCCCATTTAAAAGTT